CCATCCCCGCCAATCATCTTTTTCAACCCTCCTTATCGGATCCAACGTTCCAGGAATGGCGGGGACTGGGTATCGGGCATTTTAGAGACCTCTTCATAGACACCAGTTTTGCATCATTTGGGCAAATGTCTGAAAGGTTCGGTCTCCCTAGGTCTCACTTTTTCAGATACTTACAAGTCAGACACTTCCTCCACTGTCAGATACCAAATTTCCCCCAGATACCAGACATCAGCACCGCTGAGGCTCTTCTCAATCTACAACCAATATGCAAGGGTCTGGTTTCCATTATCTACGATAAGCTGTCGGGTATAAGGCAGGCCCCACTTAATACTATTAAAAGCGCATGGGAACGGGATCTGAATCTTACCCTATCAGCCGATGCGTGGGATTTAATTCTTAAGCTGGTTAACACACCCTCTCTCTGTGCCCGTCATTGCCTGTTGCAGTTCAAAGTTGTGCACAGGTCCCACATATCCAAATCTCGACTGGCACACTACTACCCTGACGTAGACTCGTGCTGCGAAGAATTTGTAGCCTAATAATTTATCTGATTGAATAAAAACTGGATACTTAATTGTTTATTGACATCAGATCACACAGTGGGCATGCTAATGTGAGACCATGCAGACATTCTCTTTTTTCACTTGAGTCATATATAATCAAAGTAATATCCATTTACATAACCATTTGTAGCAAGTTCATCTACACCAGGCTAATTCAATTATGAACTCTAAATTCGCTGAGCAGCAGCACGCACACCAAGCTCTCGGTTTATCTATAACAACCTGATTATTGAGGCTTCAATGTCAAACGGCATGGAACTGAATCCTAATTCCTTGTGTCTACTTATGCAGATGCCTCTGTGTACCTAATCCCTTTTGCCCTCTGTGTGGGTGTGAAGCATATTTTTGTTAGCCTATAGCCTGGTTTTGTGCATGTTGTCTTTGTTCAAAAAGTTTATAAAAATATTTCTGAGAAAAAAAAATGCAATGAAAATATTATGAATAGAATTCCAGTGTTACTACACAAGTGCCCCTCTCTGCTCGGGTCTTTTGCTCCTGGTAGAGGAGTCAGGGAGGCCGCCACAGGCCCCCCCCCTCCCGCTCTCACAAATACCCAGGCCAACCACAGGAATGTGAGCCGCTGTCAGGAAGCTGTAAAGTGCTGACGCGGAGGTCAGCGAGCATTTACACACATGTGGCTTTACTTTCACAACTCCCTCTTCCTTTTTCCATTTTTATCTTTTATCTGCTCCTTCTCTCTTCTTGCCTTATCTTCCGCTTTTCTGGCATCCTCTTCATTATTCTCTTCTCCTCTTCCTGTTAGTCTTGACACTGCTCAATGAGTTGTACTATAGGGCATCATCACTTGATTAGTCCTATTAGGGCTCTAAAGTGTCAAAAAAATTACATTTTATGTAATATGTCTTTTGTACATACAGTATTTCACAAATCTTATAAACGCCACATGTCGTAAGGAGGACCCAAAAATGTAATGTGTTTAAGCCAAAGATGAGGACAAAGATGATGATGAGGATATAATTTGAAAGCTTTAAATCATTGATAACATTCACAAGGACAGCTCATAATAATATAATACAGTATAAATACTCCTATTTTGCAGCCAAGTGGCAGGTATTTGCTAGCAAATACATGAGTACTCTAGAATGTATAGACCTAATGATTGAATAGGTGCAATATATTTGCAGTTACTGATGCTGTGGTGTTGACTGGACACCAAAACTATTTATCAAAGTAGTTTCGAAGATAATTTACTTGACTTTACCAAACCAACAGAACAGTGAAGATTGATGATGGCCTGTGCTGGCAGGATTGGCTGTTTTCATCACTGACTGTTGCATAAAAAATTGGACCTTGTGCTTGTCCAACGTGGAAAATGGTTTTACAGTGCCAAAGGATAAAGAAAAAAGTGAAAGGGAGAATCTGTAAAATTAATCCATCTTCTCTTGGTCCTTCGTGGACTAGCAGACACAGTTCAGGATCTCCATGATCTTCTATCTCGGATCTGATAGGACATCTTGTGAGACCCCTCCATGGCGAGAGTGCCCTGAGAGTCGCCACTGTTTTTCCTTGATAAAATGTCTGTAGTGATGATCACTGTGTCAAGAAATAAACCATTTGATCCATCTGAAACCATCATTCTAGTAAATTTGGCACAGGCATTCTTGGTACTAACAGGATGAAGCCTCATTTGTGAGCTAGTGCAACCAACTGATCAAAATGGCACTTATCCTGTGAAATATCAGATTGGCCGAAAAATCTAGCACAGGCGTTCGTACATCCGACTGACTTTAGTTATACCTGCTTGGTGAATTGTTGACCTTAATGTGTCCAGTACTTTGGTTTATGACCAAATAACTGCAGTACTAATGACACTCCCATCAGCCTCAACTGTACCCTGTTTTACATCTCTGCTTTGGTAGAAATATCCACAAAAGAGTTATAGGTGTGTATCAGGACCCCTCTAGAAAACACTGACGTTCTGGATGACATTATCAAGCGCTGGTTACTATATCCTTGTTAGTGCAGAGGACCTCTCTCAAGTGCTGAACATGAATTTTGTTTCTGGGTTCAACTGATAGATTGCCAGAGCTAGATGACCTTAAACAACTGAGGTTGGACTGCTGACACCTAGCTCAGCAGACATGCCTTAAGGTTGCACTTTCTGCTTTAGTTAGGAAAGTCAGGATTTCATTAGTTGCTCAGTTTTCCAGAAATTCCACAGGGTGCAACACACGGATCAAACATGTGGCCTTGCTCAACTTCAGGAGCCATGGACTGTACTATGAGAGCGGACAGTTCTATACTTGTTTTGACGGAGAGAGCGTGGGCCAGCTCCCTTTATCTGCTCCTCACATTCCACTTTGAGCAGAATAAGCTGCTCATGCCATCTCATTCCAGACTTCATCCCCAGTTTACTGCACTGAGGTGTGTTATCTAAGGGTGTGTGTTTGTGTGAGGAGGGTAAATCTGGAATACTTACATTTGAATATGTGTCAAACAACAACTTAAAACATAAAATCCTGATGACAAATGATGGAACACCAAGTAGGTTCTTTCTTTCAGCCTTCAAATTTCATATGTTTGTGTAAATCTTATTTATTTCTGGAGTTGAGAGCAATGTCGTTATTCTGCATTATACACATACAAATGCCAAAAACACTAAAATGCTGACATTGTGGAGTATTTTTTAAATATCTAGCAGTGTTGGCAATGAAAATACAAATGTTAACCTATAGGCTGATGGTATATTTGTCTGATACTGATTATAAACTTGCCTAAAGCACAGTGTGTTTCTTTCTTTCTCCATCAGCACTTTCAGACCATGCTGAAGACCAAGCTTAATGTGCTGACGCTGAGGAAGGAGCCGTTGCCCACGGTGATCTTTCACGAGCCCGAGGCCATTGAGCTCTGTTCCACCACACCACTCACAAAGAGCAGGACCCATGCTGGATACAAGGTAGGAACCTAATCATCTCTAAATTCAGCCCTGTACCTGAACAGTTGATCTATAATGGCATTAAGAGTTTAATAATCCATCATTTTTTCCTTCTCTTTTTGGACACACAAGTTAAATTCCTACTCCCAAACACACTGTGATTGTGTCTGAATCACATCCTGAAAAAAAATTATTAAATGTGCGTGTGGCCACGTGTGCATGTGTGTGCTCTCTGGCATTGGAGTTTGTTTTTCTCTGCTCCTTGGCTCGGCTAAGTGTCGGATGTAGGGTTTGATCCAACAAGCTGTCGGACTTGCAGCCTATTCTCATTTCTTTGCCCTCAAAACAGAAAACAAACAAGGCTGCAGATAAAATTACAGCCACGCTCTCTTATTAACACTTCCATTCGTATAACTGAGTGTGTGAGGATTTGCCTGTCTTATGACATTATAAGCATGATGCAGGCAAATACACTGAGATGATGGTGGCCACATGTGAGGCATCTTTAAGTAGCTGTGTGGTTGTGGACTTAGTTTTGTATGTTTAATGTTGTTTTTGGTCATTTACATGGTACCATTAACAAGGCTATCAGAAAAAAAGTTAAAGCTTTTCCAACTTTATCAAACTAAAATAAACATCTTATGTCTGGCAGTCGCCTTAAAAAGCTGAGAAAAAAAATAATTCCCTTTTGAAATTATTTCCAAGAAACACAAACATACAGTAGAACACACAGTCCCCATGTTTGTTGCTTTTTTTCTGTGTGTTGAATCACAGTACAAAAGAGCTGCCACACACAGAAACACACACAAGTTATCACACTGTGTATACACTATATTGTATATGTTTTGAAAAAAACAATAATTTCCATGGCAGCTATGAGTCCAAAAATGCTGTATCCTCATCAGAACTTCCCTAAAGTTCAAGTGTGAACACGAAGTGAAAGCCAAGAAGATTATTTTTACTGGCAGCGAAGTATGATCTGGATGTTAGAGATGCAAGACAAACAAGCTCACCAGCAGGGTTTTTTCACTGACTTAAAAGCAAATAAAAGTTCCCTGTGCCCTGTTTGGCTTATACTAGGTTTTGTTGTTGTAGATATTATATATACTGTATTAAATTTGAACAACAATAACAAGGGTTAAATGGAAGTAATTGAGTTATTTGACTGCCATTTTTCACAGATAATATCTAAATAGACTTAAAACCCATGATGCCACTTTGCTAGCTATTGTGACCTGTTAGGTAATGCACATGGGGCTGCATTAGCTAGCTAGTGCAGTTTTATATGATGGAGGGCTTAGCTGGTCGCGCCAAATTACAGTTGACTGGATACACGTACAATATGTATATTCCCTCAACTTCAGAATGAGTCATTTTAGTGTTGTACTTGAGTATGAGGGGGTTCTGACATATACAGTAGAACCTCGGTTTTCGTATGCCTAACTTTTCATACAATTCGGTTTTCGACAACTTTTTTCGTCAAAATTTTGTCCCAGTTTTTGTACATCCACTCGTTTTTCGTCCAGTTGATTGGTCGGTTCAGCGTCACTAGTCTGTACCAAACTCGTCCACCTGCCCGCGTGACTCGGCCACTCATTTCCCGGAATCGAGCGCCCACACAAAGGATCCCATGTGTTCGAGACTCAGTCTGCCATTGTTTTTTGTGCTTGTTGTGACTGCTAAATAAACCACCATGGGGCCAAAGATAACCCCGGATAGGGCCTTGATACATGAAGTCCTTATGGAGGGGGATTCCCCTTCCAAACAATAACCTCTCCTCCTCCCTCTCCCCTGCTTGCCGTCTTCCATACGCCAACAAGTGTCTTCAGTAAAGGTAAAAGTGATGTTAAATGTTCATTTATCCATTTCATTAGTCATTTATATTTATTTCTCATTGTTTTCTGTATGTAAAAATATAGTTATTCTCTATAAAATGTATTTTTTGTTAATATTTTTGGGTGTTGCGAACGGATTAATTGGATTTACATTATTTCTTATGGGAAATATTGCTTCAGTTTTTGTACATTCGGTTTTCATCAGACTTTTTCGAACAGATTAATCACGAAAACCGAGGTTCCACCGTAACACAACAATATAATGCAGGAACATAAGATAGCTTTGATCATGTATTTTCGTTTTCAGGTTTTTAATGACTTTTTACTAGATACAAAATTCAGTCAGGCAATGTTGTGTCACAGGTCACAGGATCATCATCAGTGCTTCATACTTAATCTGCCAAATGGGCAACATTTTGTGACATCACAGACCACACAGAAATTTGGAAAATGTTTTGATTTTCAGACAGCTTTAGGAAGTGTCCAGATCTACCCAGCAATTTGTCCAGAGCCAGCAGTGAAATGATGCTCAGTTTTTCAGTGGGAATCAAGGCTGCAGTGACACGCAGCAGCCTCTTGTAGCCATTGTAAGATAGAAGATAAATATTGATATATCGTCTAGGTGCCCACAGCACATAGCTGGAATTTGTATCCCTCTCTGTCCAGTGCGAATCCCACCACCCACTCGCTGCTCAGTTCGCTGAGAATGCCAAAGCCATGTTGCCATGGATACCACTACAGCTATTCAGCCACACACAAAAATAATAATTTCCCTCATGTGTCTGCAACCTTCTTATACCGTATGCAAGTCTGTATGTCTCACTGTCTGCATCTGTCAGCTTGTGTAACTTCCTGTCTGAGTTACTACCTGCCTGTCTGCATATCTTGTCTGCCCACCTGCATCAGCACCTCTGCTTCCACTGACTATTTTGTTTCATGGGAGAAAACAGTGGTTTTTTTCTGCACTCCGTGCTCGTCTTCCTGCTTACCTTTATATGTTACACTATTATACAGTTTATTATTCTTTTGAGAGAGAAGACAGGAGGTACATTGTTTCAAAAATAAATTGATGATGACCTTTGAACTTGACCTACTGGTCCCCCCGCCATCCTGTTTCCTTCGGCTCTGGTGGAGCCCTCATGATGGAAGAGCTGCGACAGCAGGGGGTCAAAGACAGTAGCAGGTCACATGACTCAGTTGGCTTCAAATAGTTCTAAGCAGGTGATTAACAGCAGGATTTACCAGCGAATTACAGTTTTTAATAGCTTGAACAGCCTTGCAAACCAATTTAGTTGTGTTGTTTAAGGTAGCTCAGCTAATTTAGCTAGTTGTGAGCCAATATTTGAGGGAGATGGTCAAAAAGGTTAGTGGACCATGTGTATAAATGTTTTGACGCATGTCACTAACTTAAAATGTCAAGTATAATTATTGCTATTAATTTCAACTTCCTTCTTTTAGAAGATAGCAGCCAAGTCAGTTAAATTTTAAGGTGCCGCTCCTAATGTTTGGAACTATTTCACGTCCCTGTGATTCGCCATTATTGTAAAAAAGCGTCAGTGGAGTTCTCATCACGGTCCTTCTTAATCCTTTCTGACTTCTGGTCCCCTTCATTGGTGCAGCGGTGGCTCAGGAGGTAGAGCATGTCGTCTCCTAACTGGAACATTAGCGGTTTGATTCCTGGGTTTTCTGGTCCATATGTTGAAGTGTCCTTAAGCAAGACTCTGAACTCCCAGTTGCTCCTGGTGATGACACTGGTGCGTGAATGCGTGAGTGCTTGGGAGTGTGAATGGGTGAATGGCCAAATTGTGTGAAAGGGCTTTGAGAGTGCTGCAGTGCATAGAAAGCACTATACAAGTGTAATACCTTTTACCATGTGACATTATTTTTTGACATTATTCCCCTCCCCCATGGATGATGTCATGATGATGTCATGGCGATTTATTGTTGGATGATGACATTCTTACCTACCCCGCACCTTCCCCAGCCCTTCGAGTCAGACCCTGTAAGTTTTTAACAGTGGTATCACAAAATATTAATATAGTGTAGGAATCTTCTACAGTTGTCATTGCCCACACTACCTGTCGCACAGCCCGATGAGGTGGAGGGACTGATGAGGGAAGTTAAATTGATGGTGTCTGAAATGCTCTGCACATTGGTGCAGGACCATCTCAATAAAAAGTGCCCAAGATGTAAAATCAGCCACTCCAGTCAAATGATATGATCCACTCTAGGGGTGTGTGCACTAGTATATTAGATAGTTCTTTGGGCCAAAAATTGGAAACTATATTTTTATATATATACCACATAATATTCTGATCATGCAATGACCACCAGAGGAGAGTGACGTAAAAATTGAGCAGAATCACTTTAAAAAAAAGTACACATAATGAGTACAGGATTGTGGCTACCGGTGCCACTGTTCTGGGTATGTGGTTGTTGTAAGCCAGTTTTGATCTAGGTATATGATAGTTGTAATGGGTGTATAGTTGTAACACAGTTACAGTATCCAGTTGTACGGTAGTTGGGAGTTAGTAGTTTGATGTTTGTAAGACAGTTCTATGTTTGTTGTAAGACAGCTGTATACTGGTTATATGCCTATTGTAAGCTATTATAGCTATATGCTAAATGGAAAAACTGCAATGCACTCTTTGTGTTGATTACAACTCTATGTTAGTTGTAAGACAGCTGTACATACTTGGAATCCAGTTGTATAGTTGTTGTCAGTTGCAGCCCTAGTTGAAAACACTGGGTCCAATGTTCAGTGGAACCAAACCAGTGGTAGTGCGCAATTCTTCATTGACACCAGCAGCCTAGGGCAGCCTGGTCATATACCATGTCTACATCTAATCTGTCAGACAGGGAGGCTTTTTGTCTCTCTGTAACTGGTATTCTGATGTCAGTGTGCTGGACATGCCATCACTTCTCCTCCACTGAACAGAATGCACAGTGATAGCATTTTGATGATTAGCAGCATCCAGGGTGAGATGACCGATGCTCCTAGTTCCCTGCTGAATGTCTGGGTTTATGTTTAATGGAGCCTTTCTATCAGTGATTTTGCCTTTGTGTGTGTGTGTGTGTGTGTGTGTGTGTGTGTGTGTGTGTTGATACAGTAAGGTAGGACAGAGTTTTCAACATGCTTATTATGGGCATCAGCTTTCTTTATCTGGTTGTCTTCCCTGCTTAAAG